GTACTTCTCTAATTTGGCTACATCAAATGCAATCCTGGGTGTCACCTGAGGACACCCGTTTGCATCAGGACTTGAATAAATTAATCACTGCCACTGAATATTCAGCAGATGCTACCCTCACCTCTGCTAATTTCTCGAGCCTTAGCATTTAGTGTCACCTCCAGACGCCTCTTATGGCTAAGGCACTGGCAGGCAGACAGGAAAACAAAATGGCGTCTAGCAGCGGCCCCTTTCAAGAGTGACCCCCTCTTCAGGGATGCCTTGGATCCCATCTTGGTGGAGGGTAAAGATAAAAGGAAGGTCCTTCCTCATGTATCCTGTCGAGTGGACAGACGATTGGAGTATCCTTACTGCAGACCGTCCTTTTGTGCAACTGAGACAGGCTTTCAAAGCCCGGCCTACCAGAGGACCTTCCTACCAACCGCGGACAGGCCGCAACCACGGACCTTCCTTTTGGGATCATTCCGGACAGCCACAGAATAGACACCCCTTTCAGGGAGCTGGCTACCGACTGTACCGTCGGTCCAAATGACTGTCCCGACAAAGGCCTTATAGGCGGTCGCCTGGGCAGATTTGCAACCTGTTGGAGACACACAATCAATAATGCCTGGGCATTACAGACCATAACACTAGGTCTCACCCTAGAGTTCAGTTCCAGACCACCTCGATGGTTCATCCAATGCTCTTTCTCTTGGGACACCACCAAGAGCTTTCTGATGGAAGCTGAAATCCAGAGAACCTGTACCTGTTCTGCCCCAGCTATGGACCCCAAAGAACACAACACACACAAAGTCTGTTCAAATCTTAGTTTACTAAACTAACTCTCCTCTTCGTCCTCTTCACTTAAGGGAGCTTCTGGAGGTTCTGAAGGCCCTGGCTGAATCCCCGCCTCTGGTACCACATCTTCTCCAGCCTCCTCATTGTCCGACTTGAGTGCCAGCTGCACAGGCTGCTGGCGCAGCACCACACCAGCCTCCTCGCTGTCTGAATCAGCTACTAGCTGTACAGGCCGCGTATGGGCCACAACAGTACCTTTTTAACATCAGGGGTCCAGCTTCTATTCAATACTCTTTCTGGTGCAAAAGAAATCGGGTGACTGCAGGGCCATTTTAGACCTAAAGGAGCTGAATGTTCACATCAAATACAAACGCTTCAAAATGCAATCCCTGCCCACAATTCTGGGCTGCATAAGACAGGGAGATCTTTTGATATCTATAGATCTCTGAGAAGCTTATTTGCACGTGCCCATCAGATCATCCCACAGGAGATTCCTCAAGTTCTCCTACGCGGGACTGCACTACCAATACAAAGCTCTGCCCTTCGGACTTTCGTCTGCCCCCAGAGTGTTCACAAAACTTCTGGACGTGGTGGCTGCTCACTTGTGGATGAAGCCCATACATTTGCTATGTTATCTGGACGACATTTTAGTTCTGTCTTCGTTTCCTCAGCAGGCGAGTCTAGATCTCCAGACCACAGTTCAAACCCTCCAAGACCATGGGTTTACGGTGAATTGGGAGAAGAGTCACATGACCTCCTCCACCAACCTGGTCCATCTGGGAGCACAGATCGACACTCAGGCCAGCCTCGTCTTCCTCTCCCAGGAATGTCGTTCCAGCATCCACACCACCATAAGGCAAGTCAGAACCCTCAGACGGGTTCCCTTGATGCTTCTTTCCCAATTGTTAGGCAAGATGATATCCTGCCTACTGATTATTCCTTGGGCGAGATTGCATTCCTGACCTCTTCTATGGTTCCTATTACCAAGTCAATGGGCGGGGCTCAGCAACTCCCCCAAATGGATAAGAGTTCCTTTCAAGGTACTGAGATCATTGAGTGGTGGACGTTGACAGCCCTGGAACAGGGCTGTTCCTTCAAGGAGCATACCCACCTGACCCTTACCACAGACACCAGTTTTTTCAGATGGGGTGCTCACCTGTAATCCTGAGTGATCCAGGGTTGGTGGTTTCCACATGACCTCCTCATGGACATCAACTGGCTGGAACTGAGAGCCGCTCATCTGGTGCTTCACTATTTCCAGCGTCATTTGTCAGGGCAACACGTGCTGTTACTGATGGACACAGTCAAAGCATATGTGAACCATCGGGGGCATAGCGCTGATCTGAGAGGCTGCGGCGATAGGTCTCTGGGCAGAGAGACACTTGTCCTCCCTGTGGACAGAGCACATCTCTGGGTCCTCCAACATCCAAGCGAATTGGTTGAGCAGAAAGACCATCGATCAGGCAGAATGGAAACTTCATCCAGATCTGTTCCGTCAGCTTTCAACCAGATTCAGCCCACCTCAGGTAGACCTTTTCGCCAGCCCAGAGAATGTACAACTTCCTCAGTTCTACACCAGATTCTGATCACCAGGGGCTGAAGGGACGGACGCCCTCCGTTGTCCATGGCCCCAAGGCCTGTTGTACACGGTTTTCCCAATACCTCTAATACCGAAGGTCATCAGGAAGATCCTGGAGGAAGGCGCAGAGGTTCTTCTCGTGCTCCTCACTGGCCAAGACAGAACTGGTTTGCGGCTCTATTGACCCTATCAATATCACCTCCCTGGAGGATTCCTCCAGACAGGATCTCCCTCAGCCAGGGGGCCACACTCCATCCGGACCCTCAATGGCTGCAGCTGGCCGTCTGGCCTTTGAGAGGGAGATCCTGAAAAAGGACCATTTTTCAAAAAAGGGTAATCTCTACCATTCTTGCTTCTCGATGTCCGTCGACAACTCGCATATACAACACTACATGGACCTCCTTTTGCCACTGGTGTACTAGACATGTACTGATTCCAACCTCGGCATCTGAACCACAGGTATTGGACTTCCTGCAGGAAGGATTAGAGGCAGGACTAGTGGTTAATACACTCCGCAGACAAGTAGCTGCCTTAGCAACTATTCTGTCCTGCGAGGGAGCTTTCACCCTCTCTCATCATCCAAGGGTCCGCAGCTTTCTAAAAGGGGCTTCCAATCTACGACCTCCACCTGTTCACAGATACCCTTTTTGGCATCTCTCCCTTGTTTTACAGGCCTTTACTTCCTCTCATTCAAACTGTTGAATTCCACCAGTCTCAGGCTTTTGATCTTTAAGGTCACCTTTCTCATTGCCATCACTTCTGCTCGCAGAATCTCGGAACTGGCAGGTCTCTCAGTACGGAAGGACTTGTGTATTATACATCCTGATAGAATCATCCTCCGTCTGGATCCAACATTCATGCCAAAAGTCAACTCCTGGTTCCACAGGGCCTAGGAAGTCATCTTACTGGATTTTTGCCCAAAGCCCAAACATCCTAGAGAACATCAATGGCACACCCTAGATGTACGCAGAGCCCTGTGCATATACATCACCAGACGGCACCCTTCCAAAAAACAGAGGCGTTGTTTGTCTCATTTCAAGCCCAGGTCCCAGGGCACGAAGGTGTCTCCATCCACCATCGGTCATTGGCTCAAGGCTTGTATTTCTCTGGCTTACGACCATCAGGCCCGACCTATTCCAGCCTGCCCACTATACTAGAAGTGGCCCACTCTACTAGAAGTGCAGCCACAACAGCGGCTTGGGCCACTCAAGCTTCAATACTGGAGATTTGCAGGGCGTCGCCTTCTTCCTTCTTTTGAAACTATAAACTTGACATGTTTGTCTCAGCAGAGGCAGCTTTTGGGAGACGGGTCTTGCAGCACGTTCTTCCACTCGACAGGACCCTGGAAGGTTCTACTCCCCATGCTAGGGATACTTAGCTTGGGCATATCCCATTGCTTTGGACTCTCTAAGCAGCGCACAGGAGAAGGAACATTGTACTTACCTGAATGTTCTTTCTACGTGTGCTGCGTGAGAGTCCAACCCCTCCCTACTATTCTGACAGGAATCCAGGGTCTGGGAGAGTATGTTTTTTTCCATCTTTACAGGCTACGTCTTCTCCACATCCAGACCATCGTTAACAAACTGGAGCTAAGCAGGAAGGAGAAAGCGTGTTTAAACAAATTACAACTTAGTCTCTGGCCAATCAGACAAGGTTATCACCTATTGCTTTGGACTCTCATGCAGTGCACATTGAAAGAACGTTCAGGTAAGTACAACGTTCCTTCCAGGTTCCTATGGAAAGAAAATCTTTACAGCATCGGACTTTCCTTTCACCACCAGATGCATTCACAGCTAAGCACTCTTTTACCTTTGGCCCAGTTGCTTCACTCTTTCTGGCATACTAGTCCTAGTCCTAGCCCTCTGCTGTTCCCCAGTAGCATATTGGACACCTTCCAACCTAAGGGGCTCATCTTCCGTCATATCTTTTTTCCTTTTGGTACTGTCCATGGGGTTTTCATGGCAAAGATACTGGAGTGGATTGCCATTTCCTTCTCCAGTTTTGTCAGAACTCTCTGCTATGACCTGTCTGTCTTGGGTGGCCCTGCACGGCATAGCTCATAGCTTCATAGAACTACGCAAGCCCCTTCGCCATGACAAGGAAGTAATCCATGAAGGGGGTTAGCAGACTAAACATCCTGAAATCCAAATAATTTTGAGGTCAGAAATCTGGGTCAAGAACTGGATTTTCTCTGGACTTGTGGCAGCTTCCAGAACTTTTAAAAGTGGTTTGTTTGGTGACCTATTGAGTTTTTATGTGTACTTGATAGTTTAGAGCTGCTGATGCAAAGTGATACATGATCCAGCACTGGATGAACCAAGGAACACAACAAAGTATCTGGCATTTGGAGTGTCATCTGTTTGTTTTCTCTAATATTCAGGCTTCTCTTAATTGACATTTCTTGATACTAAAAGAAATGGGGTCTATTGCTATGCACAAAAATTTGTTCTTTAAAATCTACTTTCCTCCATAATATTTCCATTTTCTCTGCTTATTAAAAAATCTAATGCACACTCATTTCTCCATTACCTGGTAAGGCATAATTTAAAATACGTCGATATTATTGACTACACTTATTTATTATGCAGAAAATAAGAAGACAATATAAGTTAATTAATGCATTTTTTTCCATATATTTTTGCAGATAGGTGATCATTTGTTGAGTGCAGTACAAAGAAAAGAAGGCAAGGTATCTGCAAGAGTGAAATTTCGTGATGCTGGTAAAAGAGGCAAACAAAAATCACAGGTGATGAGTGTCAGTTGAAGAGTGATGGGTTTTCAGTTTATTTTATGATTATTTAAGACTGAATTATGAATTGAGTATGGTTAAAAAATACCCTTGAGCATATGTGACCCTGAAAAACACAGTAATATATGATGACAATTATATATAATTGAGTCTTAAAGATTAGGAAATGATCCATACATATGATTTATGCACCATTAGCTACGTTTAGCTTTTTACTTCCAAAGTTGAAAGATGAGGGGGATTGTTGTGCTGTGACTCCATGACCCACAGTGCAAAAGAAGAAGTTATACAAGTTGTGATATCAGCTCCAAGATGCCCAAAATCCTGACATCTTTTTTCCTTTCTTCCATTCATATCCATAGATAGAAATCTGCTGATGAGTCACATTATAATGTGCTCCAAAAATGTGGAGTATATTTTGGTGATGAATATAGAACTCTAAAACCCTGTACAGTAGACTGTTAAATTTTGTATGTCTAAATGTGACTAAATAAACATCCTCCAATATGGAATATGGATTGAGAAGTGGTGTTTCAAACAGACTAGATCTGGAAGCGACCTTAGAGGTCTTCTAGCCCAAACACCACCTCAATACTGCTATCATGTCACCCCTAGTCCTTCTTTTCTCTAGACTAGCCAAACCCAACTCCTGCAACCATTCTTGATATGTTTTAGTCTCCACCCTTTAATCATCTTAGTTGCTCTTCTTTGCACTTTTTCCAAAGTCTCAACATCTTTTTTGTAATGTGGTGACCAAAACTGGATGCAGTATTCCAGGTGTGGCCTTACTAACAATTTATAAAGAATTTATAAACAATTTATACTAATACTTCATGTGATTTTGATTCTATGCCTCTGTTTATACAACCAAGGATTGTATTGGCTTTTTTGGCTACTGCCACACATTGCTGGCTCATGTTTAAGTGATCATCCACTAGGATTCCAAGATCCCTCTCATAGTTACTGTTTTTGAGCCAGGTTTTGCCTAATCTGTACTTGTACTGTTGGTACTTTCTGCCTAAGTGTAAAAACTTGATTTTCTCCATATTAAATTTCATGTTGTTGGATAGGGCCCATTGTTCAAGTCTGTCAAGATCTTTTTGGATCCTGAGCTTGTCTTCTGGGGTGTTAGTTATTCCTGTCAGCTTAGTGTCATTTGCAAGTTTGATGAGTTCCCCTTCTACTCCCTCATCTAAGTCATTTATGAAGATAATGAAGAGTACGGTTTGTCAGCCAGTTACAAATCCATCTGATGGTGTTGCTGTCTATCCCACATTTTTCTAGCTTACCAAGAAATAGGTTGTAGTCTACTTTGTTGAATGCTTTGCTGAAGTCTAAGTATACTAGGTCCACAACATTTCGCTGATCTAATTTAGTCACTTTGTCAAAGAATGAAATAAGATTGGTTTGGCATGATCTGTTTTTAACAAACCCATGCTGACTTTTAGTTGTAACTTTATTTGTTTCTAGATGTTTGTTTAGGGTCAGTGTTACATTTCAACTCAACTTCTATATCGTCTTCAACGGGGCCTGGAAAGATTAAAGCTTTAAGAGGGTAGTAAGAAACTTAGATAGAGATCAGAATTGAAGAATGCTGGTTTTGGACACTCAACAGTTCAAAATGGAACTTTGAATGAGAATTGGTATATGTGTGCAGAAACATTTGCTTTTGAGAAGACTGCTTGATGAGTATTGCTCAGAAATGCATAGTTCCTGTTGTAATTCTCTATGAAGGAAAAGCAGTAATATTTTTTAAATTCTATTACAGAGTTAGCTCTCGAGTTGTATTATTATTGTTTTTTTTAAAAAATACTTTTCTTCATTAGATTCAGATGGATTATCCTTCTTCTGAAGAAGCCTATAATTTCTTTACTTTCAATTTTGGTCCTGAGGAAGAGAATGTAGGGGATGACCGTGAAAACAATGAAAAGAATGCATCAGATCTAGATGACAAGGGCACGGAGAATCAGAAATCTACACTCAGCAATCAGGAAGAGCAAGAAGAGAATGAAATGGTAATCATGAAGAAGCATGTACACATCTTTTTAAACAAATATATAGTTGACTGATTGTATTTTGTTGTAAACAAAATGTGGAAGCTTGTAGTTATGTATAGTTGATGTACATAGGGTATCATATCTTGAGACATCGAGTCCTAGATTATATATAATGGAGAATTTAAGACAAAGATGTTGAAAAATTGCTTATTTCTGGCTGAAAGCACCAAGTTTGTTAAGGTCAAACATTTTTTGACATAGATATCCTTTAAATCTACAGCAATCCTATTTAGAAAAAAGTTAAATTTTATGCTTTTCAGTTAGAAATAAAATTTCTTTACTTTGAGGGAATATTTACACTGGGTTTTATATGCAGTGAGTTAAACAAGGTAATCAGCATCACACAAGGAATATCAGTAGGAAATAGTGTAGCTTCTCAGTTTAGTGTAAAGATAATTCTAAAATAAATGAATGCATAGTGCCACAAAATGCAAGAATTGTATAATGAAAATCCTGAAGATTTGTTCAGCATTCACTGACAGATTCTGAACAACCTAACTGCCATCTTTTTACAGAAAAGTTCTGCTGTTACTCACTGCTAAGACTCATGCTTTACTCTTCACCCTACACACACACACACACACACACACACACACACACCTATATGTGTGTGTGTGTATTTCTGTATTTTGACATCAACTCCCAGAATTCCCCAGCCAGCAAGATGATTGGTGCTAGGTGATAACTTCATGCTGGTGGGGAATTCTGGAAGTTAATATCCACTCATATTGAAGTTGCCAAGGTGGAAAAACACTTCTAGATTAATTTGCCAGCCTGGCCCCATATGAGGTAGAAATAATTATGGCTTACACACCAGTGAAACATAGGGTCTGTGTTCTCTTACTTAGGCATTATTTTCAGAGAATTTGTTTTATTTGTTTTATTACTGAGACTTCAATAGTCCCAGTAATAAAAGGGATTGGAAGCTTTTTTTTTTATCTCAATCATTTTTACGTATTTCAGCAATGCCCAGATAGGTATCTATGTCAAAAATAAAAAGAATATGGATTGTGTATGTTGCTTGTAAAGTACAGTTATGAGAAGCAAGTATGTATATTTGAGTTAGGTTGAAATATAAAATTTTAGGCTTAACAGCTTTGTTACAGTACCTCCTGAAATTGTAGTCAGTAATAGTTACCAGAGGTTTGATATGGTACATATAGTTTTCTAGAGATAGTCCTCAAATATTTGGCTTCCGGATAAAGATGATTCTTTGATGCAAAAATGATTGGAAATAATTTTCTTTGCAAAAACTCCTATGATAGCAAACCTGTAAATCACAGTTATGCTGCAATTGAGTTCTGATTGAAAACATTTATATGGTAAATACAGGATGAAGTGGAACATCTTTTCCATGATAAAGGGAATGATGGCGTATTTGTTATAGAACAGACATGTCAAGATTTCTTAGAAATTAGACCTGCAGAATATGAAAGCTATTCTGGAAGGCTGCAGAAAGAGAAAGATACTTTATTTATTCCCAGTCTGTTAAGAGGTATGTTGGCTGGAATTATTTTGTAATTTTGTGTGATATAGGTTAATTTATCAGATATAGTTCTTTCTTTCTTTCTTTCTTTCTTTCTTTCTTTCTTTCTTTCTTTCTTTCTTTCTTTCTTTCTTTTTCTTTCTTTCTTTCTTCCTCCCTCCCTCCCTCTCCCTCCGTCTCTCTCTCTCTCTCTCTCTCTCTCTCTCCTCCCTCCCTCCCTCCCTCCCTCCGTCTCTCTCTCTCTCTCTCCCTCCCTCCCTCCCTCCCTCCGTGTCTCTCTCTCTCTCTCTCCCTCCCTCCCTCCCTCCCTCCCTCCGTCTCTCTCTCTCTCTCTCTCTCTCTTCCTCCCTCCCTCCCTCCCTCTCTCCGTGTCTCTCTCTCTCTCTCTCTCTCTCTCTCTCTCTCTCTCTCCCTCCCTCCCTCCCTCCCTCTCTCTCTCTCTCTCTCTCTCTCTCTCTCTCCTCCCTCCCTCCCTCCCTCTCTCTCTCTCTCTCTCTCTCTCTCTCTCTCTCTCCAAAATTGTGGAAACCTTTTGGGAAAAGTGTATTTTCTAAAGCTACCTAATAACACCACTTTTATTTTGAGTAGTACCATAAAATTATATATCAATGGAAAGATATGTAATCTTTCAAGAATCAAGATTACATTCTTAATCAAGAATGTAATGCAATAACTTTTATGAAGGATTTGCTATTACAATAGCAGTTACAGTATAAAGAAGAAAAGTGAAACACGTAGAAAAAATGAGATATACAAAAATTATCATCATAGAAAAAAATGAAACATACAAAAATTATCAAGTCAGTTAAAGCTTAGTTGGGTAATCTTTAGCATGAATTAGGGCCTTACAGCGTCTTCCCATGGAGTGAACCAAGTCTTTTAGTTCTGCAGCTGTTATAATGTGAAACCAAGATTGAATGATTGTTTCTATTAACTGGGTTTTATTGCTGGGTTGCTTCTGACTAACAAGTTTCTTTAGTCGGCTCCATAGATTTTCATTTGGATTAAGGTCTGGGCCATTCCAGTAGTGGAATATGATTATCTTGAAACTCCCCCCCCCCCCAAAAAAATGGTGTTATTAACCATCAAACCTAAAAAATAGGAGCTCTGGTGGCTCAGCAGACTAATTAACATCCACTTACATCTGCTGCCTGCAATTACTGCAAGTTCAAATCTCACCAGGCTCAAGGTTGACTCAGCCTTCCATCCTTTCTAAGGTAGGTAAAATGAGGACCCAGATTATGGGGGCAATAAACTGACTTTGTATAAATATACAAAAGTATGGAGGCTATTGCTTAACACATTGTAAGCTGCCCTGAGTCTCCAGAGAAGGGCGGCATATAAATCAAATTAAAAAAAAACAAACCTAAAAAATATACTTTTCCCAAAAGGTTTCCATAATTTTGGCCACTACTGTATCTATCATCTATCTAATTTTTTTCATTATGACTATAGTTCAAGAGAAAAACCTTGGTTTTTATACATTAATTCTGAAATGCCTTTTTGGTGGATAATTTCTCTAAGATTTTATCAAGTAACATCCATTTTCTAATAATAAAGGTGGGTGGGATTGCATGTTTGTGCCTTTGATTTAATTTTGATTTCTGGCAATTGCCTAGACATCTTTTTGTAATTTAATTTAATTAATTAATTTGTTTGTTTGTTTGTTTGTTTGTTCAATTTATATGCTGCCCTCCTCCGAAGATTCAGGGCAGCTTACAATACACTTATAGCAATAGCCTTCATTGTTTTGTATATACCTGCTTATTAGGGCTTTTGGCCCCCCATAACCGGTATTTCTACAAAGTCAGTTTATTGCCCCCCAATCTGGGTCCTCAATTTACCTACCTCGGAAGGATGGAAGGCTGAGTCAACCTTGAGCCTGGTGAGATTTGAACTCGCAGGCAGATGGCAGCTAAGTGCTACATAACAGCACTTAGTCCGCTGCACCACCAAGGCTCTTTCAATTTTCTTGAAAGATTATTTGGAAGTAGTTTGCCATTGTTGTTTCAACTCTTAAAGAAGTTAAAGACTTGCAGATTAAAATTAGGAGGATAGGACAAGATAGATATGGTTCTAAAAAAGAACACTCAAAATAGAGATGTGAATGTGCAGGGAAAAATGAGAACTTAGGTAAAAATACAATTAAAAATAACAGTCTAAATTTGTAGCATTATCAAATAAAAATAACAAAGTTTTGTGAATGGGTAGTAGCAAAGTCCATGTAAATGATAAAGTGCTATGCTCAAAAGAAGTGGAATGGTAGATTTCAATTGAGACCAATGTTTTATAATGCAAAAGATAGATTAGAAATCTTTCTGTTTCTTTTTATTCATTAGCCTTTTTATGGAAGTTAAAATTTAATACTTTCTGTATGCATTTGAGGTAGTGAAGGACAAATCCTTCAATTATTTTTGTTTTACTGTAATGTTAATGCCTTCTTTTGTTTCTTCTGCATTCTGTTAATATTTTGTTCATATTTTATAGTATGGCTGTATCACTATTATCCTTTTCATCTATTCTAGAACCTTCTCCATGGTATCTTATGATTATATACTTTGCTGTCTATATGTACACTGAGAGCTTATGCACCTGAGACAAATTCCTTGTGTGTCCAATTGTCAGACCTGGAAGCCATCCTTCAGGCCTGCCACATTTACTGCTGTGGGAAATTGGGAGGGGGTATTGTATGGAGTATGGGTGATATATAGTCATAATAACATTCCTTTCTCAGAAAGTTAAGGCCATCTTGCCTTGCACCTGAGAGGCTGGACCTGGGAGGCATCTCCAGTTGGGGCAGTACTATGATTGGATCATGTGATGGACTTGTGGGTGTTGGGCAGGGACTTGAACTTTTCTTTGGGTGGGGAAAACCTGGAAACTTTCAGATTTGGGTTTTCCCAGATGTGCCAATATGACATCTGTAATAAAATGGAACTTTGAAGAATTTCTTTTTTTAAAAATTTTATTTAATTAAAAATAGACAAACAAAAACATACATACATACAATACACAAAATAAACAAACTATACATTTAAATCAAGTCTTGCAACCTGAGCCTTAAGAAAGAAGAAAGTTACTTCGGTATTCTATATCTCTCTCTCTATATATATATATCTACATCTTTCATTATATAACGATATTTTAAGATTATTTCTTGATTTTTGTTTCCTTAGTTGGTATTCCCTTTCTATCCTACTAATTATTTTTTATTTTGTTTTCCTTTTCTCTAGCTAGTCGTACCATCGTTGCCAAACCATTTGGTATTCTGTGTCTTCCTTTACTTGTATTTCTTTGGTAAGCCTGTCCATCTCTGCACATTCCATTACTTTTTGTATTATTATTATTTTTTTATTGGCTTTTATTGTAATATATAATAATACAATTCAACATTTTTCGGTTCCGTGGTGTTCATGCATATATATATATATTGTTTACTTGGTATTACATCTTTACTTAGTAATAATTCAGAAAATACTAATACTCAATTCTTTTTTGATTATTATTAATTTGTCATTATACCCCCTCATACTTTACTTTTTGTTTCTTTCATCCATCCACTTATACCACATTTCCCACACCGTGTAATATTCCATATTCTCTTTTTCATTTATCTCAAGAGTTAGCTTATTCATCTCGGTGCACTGTAGTATTTTTCTGATTACATGTTCTTCCGGTGGTAACTTTTTCTCTTTCCAGTGCTGAGCGTAAGTTATTCTTGCCGCTGTTATTACATGTATAATTAGATACCTCTTTTTTTTTCATATACTTTTTTCAGGATTCCTAGGAGAAAGGTTTCTGGTTCTAGGTCAATGTTTTCTTCTATCATTTCCGAAATCCATTTCCGAATCATTCTCCGAAATTTTATCACTTTGGGGCATGTCCACCAACAATGGTAGAAGGTGCCTTGATGTTGGCCGCATTTCCAGCAATTTGGGCTCATGTTGGGCTCATGTTTGCCATCCTGACAGGGGCTAGATGCCGCCTGTATAGCATCTTGTATTGATTTTCCTTGTATGCTGCCGCCCTAGTCATTTTAAGGTTACTGTTCCAGATTGTGTCCCATTCATTTAGATTGATGCCGTGTCCAAAGTTTTTGGCTCATGCTATCATTTGGTCTTTGACTACCTCTTCTGCCATATCATATTCAAGCAGGTAGTTGTATAATTTGGCCAGTAATTTATTATCAGTTCCCATCCATATCTTATCGAATCCATTAACACCTATTTCTATGCCGAATTCCTCCTTATCCTTTTTATATCTGGATTTTATTTGTGCGTATGGCCACCAATCGATAAAGACACCCTGTTCTTTTAGCTCTTCATTTGTTTTGAGGTTCCCTCCCCCATCTAAGATCTCTTTATATTTAACCATTTTACCCATTTCCAGGGTGTTAGGGTATATCATGGCCTCCATTGTGGAGAGCCATCTCGGGACTTTTGTGTATTGTTTTCTTCTTATTTCTCCCCATGTCTGCATTAGCGTATCCCTTATTTTGTGCCTATGAAAATATGTGTAAGGATCGACTCTCCTTCCAACTTAAAAAAGTACGAACTCTTGAAACGTGGTTGTTCAAAAGGATTCTTTTATTAAGCAGGAGTGACAGCCATCCAGCTAAAGCACAATCTGAATGCCCTTAGGCAAAGCAATAGGATTAAAGTGGTAGAGACCCCTCCCTTTAAGTCAGAATGCAGATTTTAGCCAATACACAAGTGTGAAGATGTTTTCTTTACTATTTCCTTTGAGAACCCGAACAAACATGCATTCCCACCACCACCCTTTAAAGTGAGACAACCCACATGGCTATCATAAAAATTCCTGCAGGTAAAGAGAATCTCAGGCTTCCTTGGCGCCAGGATATAGGTTGTAAAATATCTGCTGACACAGGCCATGGTAGTAAATCGAATCCAAGTCCCCCCTTCCTCCACTTGAATGGCAGTATCACTTTTAGGGATCTGACAATATGTTCTTGTCCTTTTTCCTATATCCCATAGGTAGGTGTGCCAGCC